GAATTCACTCTTATAGAGTTTCATTCGAATATGGTAGGGTTTACTCTTATATTTATTATTTATTATTAATAAAATAAATCTAATATCTTATATATTGATAGATATATAATATATAAACCCTTGGCAATGATATAGTAAAGTAATGAAATATATCTAGAATTATAGATAAGTTATAGGGATTGATTATTTACCTATATATTATCAATTATATTAAACGATAATATATTGATATTATCTTTAATAATTATATCGATATTAATATTATATAGACTATATATTAGATTAAGATATATGCAAACATATACATAAATTTATTTATCCTTATTTATATCTTATCTTTATATTCTTATATTTACTTTATTATATATATATTCATTTATATTATTTATCATATATATATATATATATACATATATTATATTATTATCCTTATCTATATTTTATCCTTTTATTCTCATATTTACTTTATTATATTTATTATCTTTATTATTATATACTTATTATATTATATTATATTCTCATATTATTTATTTAGTATTTATTTCTTATTCATTCTTCATTAGAACGTTATTAATCGTTATTTATCTATATATTTTATATTATCTCTATTTCTCCTCTTCCCCCCTCCCTTTATCTATATTCTGTTATATTATTTTTATTCTTTTATTATTTATTTTATTTCTTTTAGTTTATTATTTCTTATTTATTATATTTTCATATCTTTGTAAACCCTTATTCGAATTCACTCTTATAGAGTTTCATTCGAATATGGTAGGGTTTACTCTTATATTTATTATTTATTATTAATAAAATAAATCTAATATCTTATATATTGATAGATATATAATATATAAACCCTTGGCAATGATATAGTAAAGTAATGAAATATATCTAGAATTATAGATAAGTTATAGGGATTGATTATTTACCTATATATTATCAATTATATTAAACGATAATATATTGATATTATCTTTAATAATTATATCGATATTAATATTATATAGACTATATATTAGATTAAGATATATGCAAACATATACATAAATTTATTTATCCTTATTTATATCTTATCTTTATATTCTTATATTTACTTTATTATATATATATTCATTTATATTATTTATCATATATATATATATATATACATATATTATATTATTATCCTTATCTATATTTTATCCTTTTATTCTCATATTTACTTTATTATATTTATTATCTTTATTATTATATACTTATTATATTATATTATATTCTCATATTATTTATTTAGTATTTATTTCTTATTCATTCTTCATTAGAACGTTATTAATCGTTATTTATCTATATATTTTATATTATCTCTATTCAGGGAGGGAAGAAAGGTAAAATATATACATTTCTCTCTATTTTTATTTATTATATTATTAGATTATCTTTATTTGATATCTTATCTCTTTATTATCTTTATTATTATATTTTATATCCTTATTTATCTATTATTTATTGATAATTTATTATGAATATATACATATGTAATAAGAAAAAGTTATCATATTAACTCATATATTATAGAATTAAATTTAATTATAATCAATATAAGATTTTATTATGATCAAAATATTATTTTATTAATAAATCAAATAAATAAAAGAATAATTAAAAGGTGTGGGGGGTACCTCCGGTGGCCCCTCCGGGGAGGGTATATCTATCCTATCTCTCCTATATATTATGATAATTATTACTAATATTGATATATGTATATATTACTATTTATATTACTATATATATATACACTATTTATATAAGTATATATTATTTATTTATATTACTACTATATATTGATATATATATAAATTGATATAATGTATATTAATTAAAATTACTAAATAAATAATAATAAAAATTACTATATTTTATATTCAATTATTACAGTATATAAAATGAATATATAAATTATTAATGTAATTCAACTGAATCTTTAATATAACCAGATAATAAAATACTAAAAACATAAGCTTGAATAATAGCAATACCAAATTCAAGAATAGTAATAGCAACAACAGCTAAGATAGGGATAATACCACTAACAAAACCTAAGAAAGAAGAAGACATTAAGCTAATAATTAAAGAACCAAGAATTAACATAAGTAAGTGACCAGAAAGAATATTAGCACCAAGACGAAGACCAAGAGAAATAGCACGAGAAGCATAAGATAAGGCTTCGATTAAAACTAAAACAGGAACTAAAGCTAAAGGAGTACCACTAGGAACAAATAAAGCAAAGAAACCTCAACCATGTAAATATAAACCTAAAACAACATTACCTATTCAAAGAGTTAATGAGAAAGAAACAACAGCAACTAATTGAGCAGAAATAGCAAATGAATAAGGAATCATAGAAATTAAATTAGCTATTAATATAAAATTAAATATAGTAAATATTAAAGGAAAATAATATCCACCTTTACGTCCTATTTGTCCATTAACTAAATTAAGAATAGTATCATAAATAGCTATAACAGATACACCTCAACGTGATGAACCTAAATAGTTATGACGTATAATACTACTATAAAATATAATAATTAATGAAACAATTATTAAATATAATGTATAATTTGTTATACTAAATGTTAAATTATCTGTTATTAATAATAATGGTTTAAGTTCAAATTGATCAAGTGGAGAATAAAACATAGAAAAAAAGTAATGATGGCCATTGATAAACACGGCAAAAAAGAAAATATCTTCCTCATAGAAGATAATAAGTTAAATTAAATAATTATTAATAATAATTATAATTATAATTTAATTATAATATTACGAGCAATTAATAAACGAAGAATATTAGGTAATAAATAAGTAGCTACAAAGTATAATAATAATGAAATAGCTAAAATACCACCTGTTAATAAATTCATAAAGTAAAAAGGAACTAATTGAGGCATAAATAAAAGAAATAATAATGATATATAGATAAAAATCTATAATTTAATAAAATCAGATTGGAAGGACTTGAACCCTCAAAATCCTACACCCAATGTAGGCTCGATAACCAATTACGAGACAATCTGTATGAAATACATATATATAGCCTAATTAAATGTAATATCAACATATTTAGAATAACAATAAAGTTTAAAAGGACTTAAATATGTATAACACTATGTAGGGAATTGAACCCTAATTAATCAAGCTGCAATTGATCATCTATACCAATAGTCATAGCGAATTAAGTATAAAATAAGGGTAATCAATATAATCTACATAAATATAATATATATAATATAAATAAAAATAATAATATAATATAAAATATAGGTAAATAAGTAAAAATACGATAGACGTGATTCGAACACGCACTGAAGCATTGGAAGTGCCAGAGTCTACCATTAACCTACTATCGTATATATATACCTACCTATAAAAGAAGAATAAATATAATAAATTTAAGAATATACCAATATTAATATAAGTTAAAGCTCTACTAATACCAGTAGAACCTAAAACTTTTAATAAACCATTATCAATATATGTATTTAAATAACCACCAAATATTAATGTTTTACGTATAATAACATTATTTAATAATTGATCATAATAAATTTTATTATTAAAGTAATTATAAATAGAAGAAGGTCTAACTTTATAAGCATATTCATAAATATAAACTAATAATAAAGATAAAGATAAACCTAAAATTAAAGGTAATAATTTAATATATCAAGGTAAAGTAAATTCAGTTTCAATAAAACTATTATTAGCAGGTAATGACATAGCATAATGACCAATAACATTATCTCTATTAAATCCAATAAATATACTATAGATAACTAATATAATCATAGGAATTAACATACGTATATTTTCATGTATATGTTGATATGTAGCTTTATTACTATTAGGATTATTATAGAAAGTTAAATATAAAACTCTAATAGAATATAAACTAGTAAGAGTAGCAGAACCAACAGCCATATAATATAAAATATAACCACTAAAGGTATAAGTACCATATAATGATTCAATAATAATATCTTTAGAGTAATAACCAGTTAAACCAGGTATAGCCATTAAAGATAAAGAAGCAATTAAAATAGCAGTATAACTAAAAGGTAAATAATTAACTAAACCACCATATTTACGCATATCTTGAGTTTCAGAGATATAACTATGAATAACAGAACCAGCACCCATAAATAATAAAGCTTTAAAGAAAGCATGACAATATAAATGATAAATAGCTAAATCATAAGAACTAATACCAATAGCTAAAACCATAATACTTAATTGAGACATAGTAGATAAAGCAATAACTTTTTTAATATCATTAGTAACAATAGCAATTAAACCACTAACTAAAGTAGTAACACCACCTAATCAACAAATACCAATTAATAAAGAAGGAGCATATTCTAAAATAAAGTAAGATCTAACTAACACATAAACTCCGGCACAAACCATAGTAGCAGCATGTAATAAAGCACTAACAGGAGTAGGACCTTCCATAGCTTGAAGTAATCAAGCATGTAAACCTAATTGAGCACTTTTAGCAGTAGCAGCTAATAATAATAATAAACTTAATATATTTAATATTAATGTATTAGTATAAGGAGCAGCTAATGATAAAGTATCAAAATCAACAGCATGGAAATAACTTAAGAATATACCTAAAGCTAACATAAAGAATGTATCACCCATACGATTTAATAATATAGCAGATAAAGCAGCTTTCATAGCAGCAATTCTAGTAGATCAGAATGAAATTAATAAATAAGAAATAACACCTACAAATTCTCATCCAATAAACATCATAATATAATTATCACTAACTACTAAAATTGTCATAAATATTGCAAATACACTTAATATTATATAAAATGTATTACGATTAGGATCATGACTCATATATTCAATAGCATATAAAAGAACACATAAAGTTACTATACCTACAGGTATCATTACAGTCATAGCTAATGAATCAAGTGATAAACCATAAGGAATTATAATATCACCTATATTTAATCAATTACCTAGACTAATTGAAATTGGTTCTTCTCATATATAATATAGATATTGGAACATTATATAGTATGACCTACTTTCCCTCTTAATCTATAATATGATACTAATATACTTAATCCTATAGCTGATTCAGCTCCAGCTAATATAATTATAACTATACTAAATATAGTTCCATATATATCATCATATACACTACCCATATATATTAATTTAACTGTTACTGTTAATAATAATATTTCAATAGCTATTAATAATGTTATAAGATTATTTTGACTTATATAAAATAATAATAATATTGATATTAGTGCTAACATATTTGTTTTTATTTTATTTCTAATTTATATACATGTTTATATTTATATACGTATTTTAATTATTATTACTTTTTATTTTTTATATTATTATATTCTTGTTCTTGTTAATAACCACAACGAGATTCGAACTCGTATAACGACTACGAAGAAGTCATATCATAACCTTTAGATCATATGGTCTATGTATTGTATTTATTAATTTATGTCCTATATAGGAATTGAACCTATGGTCTTTCGATTACAAAACGAACGCTTTACGGCTAAGCTAATAAGACAATAGAATAAAAGGGCAACTACTGAGACTCGAACTCAGATATATCATTCCACATACGAAGGTTTTACCTTTAAACTATAGCTACCTTTATATTCATATATATATATCTAAAATGAGATAGGACTGAATCGAACAGTCGTAGCCTTAAGCATTATAGCTACAATATAACTCTAATTACCAACATTAGAACTATCCCATAAATTAAAATATATAATATGTCTAAAAATATATGAATATTATTTATATAATATACATATGAACATTATGAACATTAGAACTAAATTATTATAAAATTAATATGAAAAGTAAAATAAAAGATAAATAAAAATAATATAAATCTAAATTACGATTAAAAGGACTCGAACCTTTACGGCATAACGCCCAAACATTTTAAGTGTTTTATGTCTACCATTTCATCATAATCGCATATAAAAATACTCACCTATATAGTATATAAAGTATAAAAAAATAAAAAGAATATATATATATAATTATAAACTATGATCCTCATCAATAAACAATAATATAGATAAATAATCAAATAACATCTAATACATGTAAATATAAAATAGTTGTTTCAGCACCAACATGAGATGTATTAGTGAAATCATAATTATAAACTCTTCAAGTACAGATAACTAACATAATAGTAAGCATAATCATATGTAAACCATGTAAACCAGTTAAAGAATAGAAAGTAGAACCATAAACTCCATCAGTAATAGTAAATCCAGCATATTTATATTCTAAGAATTGGAACATAACAAATAAAGCAATTAATAAAGTACTATAAATAAAACCATATAATGTATTAGCTCTATTACCATTAATTAATGCATGATGAGCATATGTAATAGTAACCCCTGATGCTAATAAAATAATAGTGTTTAATAAAGGTAATTCAGCAGGTGAAATAACATCAATACCAACAGGAGGTCAGCTCATACCTAAATCCATAGTAGGATTAACAGCTGAATGTAAATAAGCTCAGAATAAAGAAGCAAATATTAATATTTCACTAACTACAAATAATAAGAAACCTTGGTTAAGACCACGTTTAACTGCAATAGTATGATCTCCTAAATATGTACTTTCAGCTATAATATCTTTAAATCATAAAGTCATACTATATAATACTGTTATTATACTTAATATTATATAGAAATTATTTGCCATATATCCATGTGAATTTAAAGCTATAGAAAATGCTAAATCCATTAAACTAAATGATGTAAATATTGGTCATGGTGATGGTCCAACTAAGTGGAAAGGATGTAATTGTAAATATCCTCTAACATTATTTGTCATAATAATTTTTATTTTTATTTATACATTAAGTATATATGAGTAGGAATGATTGGAATTGAACCAATATATTTAACTTAAAAGGATAAAGTCTTGACCTTTAGACGACATTCCCTTTAAAGATTATATATATATATATATCTTTATTTTATGCCTTCGATGAGACTTGAACTCAGATAGACCGCGCTTCAAGCGATTGCTTTAACCATTAAGCTACAAAGGCATTATATACAAGGGCAAATAGAATTGAACTATTATACAATGTGTTGAAGACATCTGCTTTACCATTAAGCTATACCCTTAATAAATGATTAATATATTATTATATATAGTGTATTATAATATAATATTAATTAAATGAGTCGTAATGGATTCGAACCATTAACTAAGACGTGTAAGATCTACGATTTACCATTAATCTAACAACTCTTAATATTAATATATGCCCTATTAGGAATCGAACCTAAATTATTATATTAGAAGTATAATGTTTTACCATTAAACTATAAAGCATATAAATTATAAATAAATAGATAAATAAAATATCTCACCTATAAAGTATATAATAATAAATAAAAAGAATAATTATAATAAAATAATAGCATCTAATGAATAAATTAATACAGGAATAAAAATAGCAACAGCAAATAAAATAGGTAAAAATACCATTCAACATAAATGAATTAATCTATCATATCTAATTCTAGGTAAAGTAGCTCTAATTCAAATATAAGTATAAGCAAAAATATTAGCTTTTAAAGCTAAAATAACACCAGTACCACCACCAAAGAATAATATAGCAGTTAAAGTAGATAAGAATAAAATAGAAGCATATTCAGATAAGAAGAATAAAACAAATATAGATGAAGAATATTCAGTCATATGACCTGAAACTAATTCAGATTCAGCTTCAACTTCATCCATAGGAGGTCTAGCTGTTTCAGCAACACAACCAATATATCACATAATAGATAAAGGTAATAAAGGTATACCTATTCAGATAGATTCTTGTAATTCAACATATTTACTTAAATTCATAGTACCAGCTAATAATATACAAATAAGAACTATAGTAGTTAATATAAGTTCATAACTAATTAATTGAGCAGTAGCACGAATACTACCTAATAAAGAGTATTTACTATTACCAGATCAACCAGCAAGTAAAGGACCAAAAACACCAACACTACTAATAGCTAACATAAGAATAAAACCATAATTACTATCATAAATAGTAACACCAGGAGCAAAAGGAATAATACTTCAACATAATAAAGAAGAAATTAAAGCTATCATAGGACTAATAAATAATATAAATTTATCAGCATGAGTAGGTGTAATAATTTCTTTAAGTAATAATTTAGCAGCATCAGCTATAGCCATTAAAACACCTAAATAACCAACAGCATTAGGACCAGTACGTCTTTGCATATAAGCCATAGTTTTACGTTCAGCAACTGTTAAAAAAGCAACAGCTAATAAAACACTAAGGAACATAATTAATAATTCTATATATTGCATTATTTAGTTATAGCAATAGCCCCTATAACAGAAAGAATTAAAATTAAACCTATTAAAATCATTGGTATAGCATATTCAGTATATAATAATGATCCTACTGTTGTTAATTCTAAATCTCAATCTAATAAACTATTAAATGGATAAGCTATATTAACATTTTCAACTATTCCATAAGTTTCATATGATAAATCTAATGGTATTAAACATATAATTAATATAGTAAATATTAATGGATGAATTGTACCTTTATAATTATATTCGATATTTAATAATGATAATATAAATAAAAATAATATAGCTATAGCTCCAACATAAATAAGTACATAAAGTATTCCCATAAGTACAAATCCATTAGAATATAAACTAATTGCTGCACTTACAAATAATACTATTAAACATACAATTGATTGTACAGGCGATAATAGACCTATAGCTAATATACTACTAATACCGCTTATTAAAAACATATTTTATAATATATATAATAATTGATTATACCTTAATTATTAAGATATTTGAAATATTTTTTTATTTCTCAATTAAACAATGTTTATACATTCTCGTTAATAAAGATTTATATTCTTTATACGTTTTAAACTAGAATCGAACTAGTATCATTGTATTAACAGTACAACGCTTTACCACTAAGCTATTAAAACTATAATAAATAAAAAAGAAAATATAAAAAAGAATAAATAAATAAATATATATACATAAGAATATATATATATATATATAAGGAATATTCATTAATAATAATAATTATAATTATAAGATAAATAATATCTAAAAGATATTAAACAGCGTATAATAATAAGAATGAGATCATTAAACAGAATAAACCACAAGCTTCACTTAAGGCGAAACCTAAGATAGCTTGAGGGAATAATGTACTTCTTAAAGAAGGGTTACGAGAAGTACCGTTAATTAAAGCTACGAAAACTAAAGCGATACCGATAGCAGCACCACCTAAACCTAAAGTAGCAATACTTGCACCAATGTATTTAGCAGCTAAAGCAATTTGCATAATTTTTATTTAAATATATATTTATATTAACAATGTCTTAGCCCAATAAGAATCGAACTTATATTTACCGATTATCAATCAGTCTCTTTAACCATTAAGATATGGGCTAATAAATAAATAAATAATAAAAGAATAGATAATATTAATATAAATCCCGAGCAAGTTCCCTTACTCGAACTGTATTTCAACTTATAGCATATCATATGCTCATTAATACACGAAAGTGTATTAAGACATTATCTATGCTATTGATGAGTGATTAGTGCGAAATATATGTATAGTTCACCATAGCACTCTTGTCTATGATTACTAGCAATTCCTTTTTTATATTGTCGAGTTACAGACAATAATCCAATTAAAAGAAAATTATCATAATATCTTATATTTTATATTATATATTAAATAAAAAAATAAAACCTATAAAAAATAGGAATATAATATGATATATATATAATTATATAAGAGATAGTAGTACACCTGTAGCCCTACTCATAAGGGTCATGATGATTAGTCTTTAGCCTCTACTTCCTATATCTTATCAGATATACATCATCATAAGATCGAGGGTTTTGTTCATTAAATAACTTAATAAGATACCACAAAGCATGAACTGACGACAACAATGTAACGCCTGTATAAAATATCCAAAGATAAAATATATTCAAGAGTAGGTAAGGTTTTAGGGGTATTGTCCAATTAAACAGTATACTCCACTGCATATATATATAACCGTCTAATGTCTTGCATTTCATTCTTGCGAACGTACTAGTCTGGCGGTATACTTAAAGCCTTCGCTTGTCTAATTTATAGTATACATAGTTCACAGCTATAATTAAATGGGTACCGAATCCATGTCACTACTATAGCTTTCATCCCTCAGTGTCATTTTATTTTATGTATATTCTATGCTGTCTTATAACTATCATAGTATTTTATCCCTAAAGTTATATTTCATTATACATTTAATAAAATCTATATTTTAAACCTACGGATCCTTTAGGCCAATGTAGATTAATGCTTGCCCTTGATGTCTAACCGCGACGGCTGGCACATCTCTTAGTCAGGACTATATCTTTATATCAATCAGTCTTTAATATAAATATGAAATTTTATAATAGTTTATATAAATATTTTTATTTATATTTTTATTAAATTTCTTATAGATAGCATGATCAACCGTTAGGTCATTGTCAATAATTCCCCACTGCTGCTACTAATAGTAGTTGGCTTTATACCAATGTGATCGTTGTGACTTCCATCACCGATTATAGGTCAACGGCTAGTTCTTTAACTAATACCTTCATCTATTAAGATATATTTATATATCTATTATACTCACCTTATCACTCTTTTATTTAAAGAATTTGCATGTGTAACGCTTCTATATAGCATTTTATCCGAATCAACATCATGTTCATGACGTATTACTATATGTTGAACTACTCAGAATTGAACTGAGACCAATCCATTATGAGTGGATCGCTCTACCATTGAGCTATAGTTCATTATTTTTATTTGCAATAGATAGACTCGAACTATCATAATAAAAGCATGAATCTTATATGTTACCAATTACATTATATTGCTTTATTTTTTATATCTTTATATTTTTATAAATTTATATCTCCTTTATTTATTATTTATCTTATATATATATATTATATATTAAAATGAATATATATAATAATTTAGGTATTGATCATATCATATTTGCTATTCCATTAGGATATAATCCATATCAAATAGTTGGTATAATTAATGATATTAATAATACACTTTCTCTATATGTACAATCATGTGTTAATGAAATATATGGTGTTTTTATACCACCTGTTAATCTATTAGTTACTTTTAACATATATGATGCTGATAATAATACTGATATTAAGGCTAATGCTCCTAATACTGGTACACGATTTAATGCACCTGCTAATGATAATAATTCACCTATAAAGTTAACTGATAAAGGTGTTCCTATATTACAGAAACTTAATATAATTAAATATATAGCTAATATAGGCATATATGTTAATAAACCTTGATAATAATATATTAATCTATTATGATATCTATCATATAATATACCTCCTACTATAATAAATAATGCAGGTGATACAAATCCATGTGCTATTGATAATATTAAACTACCACTTATACCTATTATATTATTTGACATTATACCTAATATACATACAGCCATATGTGATATTGAACTATATGCTACTATTACTTTAAGATCTGTTTGTCTTAATGTTATTATTGATGTATATATTATTGTTATTACACATATCATATATACTACTGGTGTATATAATGTTGATGCATCTGATAATGTTGGTAATATTAAACGTATTATTGCATAAACTGCTAATTTTAATATTACTCCTGCTAATAACATTGATCCTGCTAATGGACTTTCTGAATGTACTACTGGTAATCATGTATGTACTGGTACTAATGGTGTTTTTACCATTATTCCTATTGATATTCCTAAAAATAATATACATTGTAAATCTAATGATAATACTAATAAACTTACTGCTTGATAATCTGTATTTCCTATTAATACTTCATATACTGCTATTGCTATTAACATAAATAATGATGATAATAATGTATATATTAATATATAATCCGCTGCTTTCTCTCTATTATTAGCTCCATATAATCCTATTAATATAAATAATGGTGCTAATGATGCTTCAAAATATATATAGAATGATAACATATCTTGACACATAAAATTTATTAATAATATTATTCCTAAGTTAAATACTAATTCATAATATAATGTTGATTTTATACTATTTCAATTAGCTATTATTGATAATGGTAATAAATAAGCTGTTAATAATATAAATATATCTGCTATACCATCTGTTGTATAATATATATCTAATTCATTTCAATCATATAATGTTGGTATTACTATTAATATACTTGCTATTAATATAATAGATTTATTTATTCCTTTAAATGTTCTACTTATTATTGATGTTGTAGATGAAATTATAAAATAAATTAATGTCATATTTTTTATTTGCCTCTCTTTTGGAGGTATATTGATATATGTTTGTGTGTATGATCAAAGGGACTTGAACCCTTAATAAATTAGACCTAAACTAATCGCGTATACCTATTCCGCCATAATCATTTATATATTATATATTTATCTCTCTCTCTTTATTATTATATTTATAATCATATTTATGTATATTATATTATATAATATTATTAAATGAATAAATTAATAAGAATATTTTTCTAAGTTTTTATTATACGGATGCAACGTGATTCGAACACGTGGGTTTACACCTTGATAGCTCAAATATCACACCTTAAACCTCTCAGTCATACATCCTAAAATATAAAATATAAAATATAAAAAGAATATAATTAATTATAGATATATAATTAAATACTCTCCTATTTAGGTTTTATAGATAATAAATTAAAAAAGAATAATTATACCCTTTCAATTAAGATAGGTAATTCAGAGTAAGTATGATATTGTGCTGGTTTAGATAAGATTAATTCTAAATCAGAATCACGTGTTTCTCTTGTATTATTAGATTCTAAATAATCAGGAGTAACAGCTTCTTCACGAACTATATTTTCACCATCAGTTAATGAAACTAATACACTATATAAACCTAATACTACAGATATAACTGACATAACTGAACCTCATGAACTTACCATGTTTCAACCTAAATAAGCATCAGGATATTCAGGTATACGACGAGGCATACCATTTAAACCTAAGAAGTGCATAGGTAAGAATACTAAGTTAACAGCAATAAATAATAATCAGAAGTGTGCTTCACCTAAAACTTTATTATAATTTAAACCAAACATAGCATAACCTCAATAATAATATCCAGCAATTAAGCTAAATAAAGCTCCCATAGATAATACATAATGGAAATGACCTACTACATAATAAGTATCATGGAAAGCTACATCAATTGATGCATTAGATACCATAACTCCTGTTAAACCACCAATAGTAAATAAGAATAAGAAACCTAATGCAAATAACATAGGAACTGCTAATCTTAATTCACCACCATATAAAGTAGCTAATCATGAAAATATTTTAATTCCTGTAGGTACAGCAATAACCATTGTAGCACTAGTAAAGTAAGCTCTACTATCAATGTCTAACCCTACTACATACATGTGATGCAAATTTATCTACCATTGTATATCAATTAGTAGATATTGTTCCCCTTTTCGGAGAATGTGTTAATAAATAATTTTTATATTTATCCATAAATTATTTTTTATGCTTCTTTTACAAGAAGGATCGGACTATATCTTTATCTTTTAATTTCAAATAATATTTATATATCTTATATCTCTCACTCTTATGCAATGAGGTAAGAGTTATATCTAAATTTTACCTGCTTTACCTGTTTTAATGATATTAGATACATTTAAATTAATAAGTTTCTTTAATCTTTTTATTTCATTAAATCCTTCTATTGTTAAATGTTCTTTATTTATAACTTTATTATATATTATATTAAAATATTTATATGATAAAGCTTTTTTAGTATATAAAGGATATTTATTAAAATAAGATATAACTTTATTTATAGATTTATAACCTGTAATAGTATATCTATATACTCCTTCAGTATCAGATCTATAAGTAACTTTACCTAGATCAAATAAGTCTTTTATTATATTTAATATATTCTCATCTTTTTGATCTAATATATATTTTAATTTTATAACTGAATTAAGTTTATATTTTTTATTATTAGTAATAGATACATTAAAACAACCTTCAGCATCAGTAAATCCTGAAAGTCAAGGATCTTGTAATGAAATGTTAGCTGATTTATTAATTAATTTAATATTTTTATTAAATTTAATATTAAAATAATTAACTCATAAAGATAATTGATTAATTCTATGTGTTAACACTAAATTACCATTAAATAAATAAGTTAATAATAATAAATGAGAATGTTTTTCAACAATAAGTCTATAAAATCCATTATTATTATTAGATTTACCTTGAGGAAAATATTTAACATGTCCTATACCTAAAAATTTTTGTATAAAATATAAAACATTACTTTCCTTTTGAGTTAATACAAATTTAATTTTAGTATTATTACTATATGATTGTATAGCACCATCACCTTCAATAAATCCAATTAATCATATAAGTAAATCATCAGGAATAGAATTTAAATTATTATATAATAACTCATTATTATTATTTAATATATTAAAATAAGTATTAAATTTAGAGAAATTAAAAGATATTTCGCGTGTAGTCTCTGAGGCGCTTTGTATATAATTAAATATAAAATAATATATATAAACAAGGGACAAATTGCCTGCTGATTGGATATAACTATATAGATTTTTACATTTCAATGTACTATATAGCTTTAAATCTTTCCAGCAAATAGCGAAATTTATTTTATTCTTTATATCACTATAAAGTGAAGCCAATGTAGCTCGCCGGGTTATGGCGAGTATAGTATGTCAACTTCAAACTAAGAAACCTAATAAACCAATACTTGCAATAGCATAAATCATACCTGTGTGTCCAAAAATTTCTTTTTTACTATAAGTAGAAACTATATGTGATATAATTCCAAATCCAGGTATAATAATAATATATACTTCAGGGTGTCCAAAGAATCCCTACCTTGATATATATTTGTTATATTTATATATTTATAACAAATAATGTAATAATTAAATAATTATATTATTTTCATCTCAATGGATGATGTTCATTACATTATACTACTTATTTCACTCTAGTAGTATATATCTCATATATGCATATGACCTAATATAAACATAATAATATTATTATTATGTTATTATTTTCCACCCTAAAAAATAAATATATATATTAGAGGTTCCGACTGTACATTAAGCTATATAAATATATATAACCCATCATAGAGGCAGTCTGTAGCAATCATATATTATTTAATATTAATTATATATAACATAACATATAAATTATCTTAATTTAAATTTAAATATTAAATAAATATATAACCGACGGTCTAAATTTAGAGAAATTGTTAACCGTTCCTATAATGTTGCTATTGTTATTAATATTAACAATAACTAGGGGAACATACTAATTAATAAATATATTTACATAATTATATGATATATTATTAATTAGTAATAAATGGTATATTTAATCTATAAAATTATAGATATATAAATATTTGGTAAATAAAGTCTTATAAAATTATATATAGAACATTTGCTTTATTACCTCTAATAACTTGCGTTAAACCATTCCCTTTATTTCAATACTTTGGTATTTTTCGATTTATTAATTGTTTTACATAATTCTTTTAATATAACTCTTTTTGTAGAATCAAGATGTTCTTTATTATTTATACTTTGTAATACCTTTTTAAAAGCAATAAAACTTTCAGATTTAATAGTTTTTAAAGGATATTTATCAAAATAAAAAAATAATTTAATACAATTTTTATATCCATTAATACGGATTTCTCAGTTATTATTATTAGAATGAGGATAAACTTGACCTATTTTAACTTGAGTAACTTTATTAAATTCAGATAAGATATGTTCTAAAACATATTTATTACAAAAATGTTTTTGACTAAGAATATATCTTACTCTATAGGCATGGGTACTATTATTTATAATAGAAGCAGTAAAGCAACCTTCAGCATCAGTAAATCCTGAAAGTCAATAATCTTCTAAAGTAGGTAATATTACATACTCTTTAATATTAATTATTTTCATATTATTTTTTAATAAACTAATGTTTAATTCAGAAATAAATTTAATAAAAACAAAAAGTCTCATAGGTAATACTAAATTACCATTAAATATTAAAGATATTAAATATTTATGTTTAAAATTAGTAATAGATCAAGCTAAAGTTTTATTAACTTTAGAATGAATACAAATATTTCCCATACCTAAATTACTTTGTATATATTCTAATACATTTCTATCTTTATTAGATTGAATTATTTTAATAATTATAGCTTCTTTACCCAAAATAAAAGAACCATCACCTTCAAAAAATCCAATAAATCATTGTAAGAAATCAACTGTAGGTAATTTTCTATTAGGATAATATTTTTTATATTCAAAATAAAACTCTTCAAAATTAAAATTTTGATTTTTAATAATTACATTATTATCATTAAATAGATATATAAAACCATAAATCATACATATTATATAAAATAAATGTTCGTAAAGGATTGGATCACCACCAGCAGCTACTTCATAGAATCCTGTGTTAAAGTTACGGTCCATTAATAATAATGTAACACCAGCTGTTAATACAGGTAATGATAATAATAATAATATAGCTGTGAAGAATATAGCTCAAACAAATAATGGCATATCTATCATGTGTACTCCTATACTACGCATGTTTAAAGTAGTAACAATAAAGTTAATAGCACCTAATAATGATGAAATACTTGTAAGGTGTAATGCAAATATAGCTAAATCAACTGATGGACCTGAATGTGCACTAATTGATGATAGTGGAGGATATACAGTTCATCCTGTACCTGCTCCTGATTCAATTAAAATTGAACCAATAATACATACTAATGCAGGAGGTAAACATCAAAAACTAATATTATTTAATCTAGCAAATGCCATATCTACAGCACCTATCATAATAGGTAAAAAGAAATTTCCACTAGAGATGGATGTTAAAGTCACCTTTAAAACCCCTCAAAGAACCGTACGTGCAAGTCACCCTGCATACGGCTCACCCGAGTATCATAAGAACTAATCTAATAAATTATTTCCTTATAACACTATTTCGTTCTTATGGCTTCTATTCACACGATGCAAGTCTTTATGACATCATGAGTGTACTAAAATTAGATTGTCTAATTTGTTCCGTGCACCACCTTTGGCAATAGGATTAATATGATGAATGTGAAGTACATTCGTTCAACCTACCGAGGATTCCGTCAGTGTGCTTTGACATACAGGACATAAATTGTTCTGTCTGATTAATAATTTCTGTTTGAAGGGTGCATTTACCCCTAAAGCTTTGAAATTAACGTTAGTATTATATTCAACTATTTTCATATAATCGTTATGATACGCATGAATATGAATTAGATTCTGTGGAATATTGTAGTATTTAGCAGCAAGTAGTTGAGATACATTTCCTACATCTACTAAATATATTAACTTAGTTTTATCAACATTATATCTCGATTGTGCACTTGTTTTACCATGAAATACTCATTTAACATTCTTAAACATAGAATACTCAGTATTGGAAAGCTTAGTTCCCTCAACCTTAGCAGTCAGAAAATAGGTTTTTGCAATAGCATGTCTATTTCATCTTCTATGTTTACGATGAGCTCACCTTCATATCAAGTGGTAAAGGGAATTCCGCACTGTATCTCTATAATGAGAGGAATTACCCATATTATAATAATTAGATCACCCTCTCAATATAGGATTTAGTTTGGTTATTAAGTTATAGGCGTCCAAATTCATAGATTTCTTGAAGATAAGTTTTAATTTCTCAATAAACGATAAGACCTTTGTTTTATTAGGGTATAAAGCTATACCTCTACTTCCCGCATGATTATGATAAAAGACATGTCTTTTAATACTTCATTTATCTTGATATTTAAAAGTATATCCTAAAAAGTCTAATTGACAACCTGGATCACTTAATCTAAATAGTTTAGTTTTCTCTTCATTGAGATTCAAACCTCGTTCAGCTAAGAACTTTTCTATAGCAGGTTTAATGAATGTAAGCATAATGTGTTTAGATCTAACTAATACGACAAAATCATCAGCATATCTTACATATGCTAATGAGGAAGCGACACATGTATACGTACCATCCTTTAATTTAATCCTGATTCTCTGCTCTTTACTTTTTGTTAAAGGATATAATGCTTCCATTACTACCTTCTCCAAGCCGTTCAGAGTGAAATTAACTAAAGTAGGAGATATGACACCTCCTTGAGGAGTACCACTTTCAGTTAATTGAAATATTTTACCATCTATTACTCCACTCTTTAATCAAGCTTTAATAATGAGTAATAATTTAGGATGAAGGGTTAAGTTATTAAGTAATCAATCATGATTAATGTTATCAAAGAAACCTTTGATATCAGCATCCAGAATTCATTTATTTTCTGGTAATAATCTTAATAAATTATTCTCAACGTTTGATGCAGTTGTAAAATGATTTCCCTTTTTAGAACTATCAATAGTATGTAAATGAGATCTCAAATAAGCAATGGCATTTTTCGTAGAACGATAAGGTCTAAACCCATAGTTATGAGGATCACTAGTCATTTCAACTAAGGGTTCAACTACTAAATTAATTAAATATTGTAAACCTCTGTCTTTAAGAGTAGGAATCCCTATAGGTCTAAGTTTCTCATTTCCTTTTGGTATTCAAACTCTTTTTACCGGATCACTCTTATATAACTTAGGATGTTTTACTGTTGTTCCTAGTCATTCGACTATTTCCACGAGTAAGGCTCTATCCTTATCTACTCCTTCAATACATACATTATCCACTCCAGATGTTAGAGAACCTCTAGAATGAGATAATTTATCCACAGCATGTAATCTAAATATTATTGAATTTACTAACATCATTTGTCTCTTCATGACTAATTCAGATTTAGCACCATGTATATTAGCTAAATGAACTAATTCCATTTGTTGTTCATGTACAACTTTCCTAATATGCCCTAAGACAAAACTATTTGGTCATACAAACACTCCATTAACTACAGACTTCAGATATAATTGAAATTCGCTTATATCCTCCCTAGTCTTTGAATAGCTACGTTTCTGGATATAAAGTTCATTCATACTAAGGCATCGTGAATTCAGCTTTTGTCCAATATGTTCAACTCTTGGCCATTGTAAACCCAATCTATCCCTAGATTGATGTTTTATGGTATTTCTAACGTTACTTAGAACTTTTGCTTCCTCACTTATCTTGCCCCCGTGTATTCTATTTATGATTTGTATGAAACTTATAATAAATAGGTTATATAATCTAACTATACCCAATAATGAATATACATACAGATATATTACAGTAACCTTAAATCAAGATTTAAGTATGTGAAATTTGACATTATTTCACTTCAATAATATACCCTTTCCGAGGTTCCCGTGTTTGGTTAAGTAAGCCTTCAGACTATTACCGTCTTGGATAAATATTAAGTCCTCCTCTGTTTTGGTGCTTCTGATGATGGATTTGAAATAAATGCATTCATCTTTATTTCTTTCATATATGAAGCTCTTTGATCTACTATTAATCTCAGAAGACCCTAGTATCGCTGAACCAATTTTATAATAAGGATTCATTCTCATTAAACTTAATATTACCACTAAAGCTATATCTAGAGTACTAAATACTTCACTGAGAGTTTGTATTTTTCCCCATTTCGTACAACCTTCAGAGATTAGCTCGTTGGCTAAGCCCTCTGTACTTAGATATTCATGTAATGAGTTTAACCTCATTAATCCATCCATGATGGCAAATCATAGTATTATCATTACATTACATAATAATATTACTATAATAGCACTTACTAACTGTTCACGTCGTAAAAATGCACCTATTAATACAGGCATAACAAATAAGAAAATCATTGCTATAGCATGACCAGTAACAAGAACATTATATACTTGCCGATTTTCGTGTAAGAACTGATCACCTGGTCCAGATAATTCTAATCTAATAATTACAGACATAGCTGTAGCAACCATAGCACTAATCATACCATAGATAAGGTATAAAATACCAATATCTTTATGTGATGTACTAAATAATCATCGTGTTGTATATGACATATAAAAATATGTACTTATAATTTATATATTTTATATTTTAACAAATATTCTTTATATTAAAAAATATCTTAATAACTCACCTATATATAATATATCTATTAATTAGATAAATATATTTAATATAAAAACTAATTATATATGATATAATAATATATGAAATATAAATATATAATATATAACAATATATAAGATAAAATAAAATAAAGAATAAATAAAAAGAGATATAAAATAATAAAGTAAAAGGAGACATGATTTGAAAAAGTTATAAATGATATTAATATTAATATATGGAAACTCATAAATTATATATATATAATATATATATAAGACTTATGTTATAGAAAGGATAAATTAGTTTGGCATAAGCCGATCCTAACTAGAAATAGTAAATAAAAAAGTATGTGAATTGAAACATCTTAGTAACATATGTAAAAACCAATAGGGATAACAGTAGTATCGGTGAGAGAATCTGTTGTTGTATACAAGTAATACTTAGAAGTATGAATAAAGTAGTATCTACTACTAATACATAAACTATAACATAAAGTTAAAAGTACTGTAAAGGAAAGAGTTAAAAAATCAAATTATATAATAAAAATATATATAAGAGATAAAAAGAAATATATTAATAAAGAGCAACTATAGTATAGTGTACCTCTTGTATAATGGGTCAGTGAGTTATTTTTATAAGCGAAATAAGAATTATATATAATAAGATAAAGTTTATAGGAATAGACCCGAAAGCACATGATCTATATATGTATAGATATATATTTAAAATAAATATATGATCAAATAGGTAGATGTAGCAATATCTTCTAAAGATATGTGTATAGTAGTGAAAGGCAAAACTGATGTGCAGATAGCTGGTTATCTACGAAATATATGTTAGTATAGCCCTTATAATAGCGTAAACCCTGGTAAAGCACTTAATACCATATGGGAATAAATTTATTTACTATATGTATTAAACCTCTGAACAGGAGTGATATGACATATAAGGAGTCAGACTTATTGCGATAAGGTAATAAGTCGAAAAGGGAATAACCTAGACTATTAAATGAAGGTCCCAAATCCTCATTAAGTGAATACAATCCTATGAGTAGATAAATACCTCAATATATTCCATAAAGGAATAATTTTGATCAGACAATTAGTCAGTGGGTTTGATAATAATCACCTGTTAAAGAACATGTAAAAATGCACTAATAGAATTTATATCAAAAAAAGATATATAAATCAAAAGATAGGAACAAATATACGGGTCTAAATGTAGGAACCGAATAATAGATATAATAAAAAATATTATATAGTAGTAGATTATATAGTGATAATAACTATAAAGACAATGCTGACTTGAGTAACGATAGGTAATTAAGGATTACCCCTACAAAACACAAGGTTTAACTATAAATTAACGGTATCTAAGTATATATATGAAGATATATATATGATGATAGATAGTACAGGAAAATGTAGTAACCGTACCGCAGTCCGACCCAGGTGTGTAAATGATAAAAAATAATCATAATATAAATCTTATAACTAATAAGAAAGATATTGAGTAGGAATGGGTGAAGTATCATAAATGAACTCGGCAAATAAGGCAAGGCCTGAATAGTACGACTGTTTACCAAAAACACAGCTTACTGCAAATAGGAAACTATCGGTATAGTAAGTGATATCTGTCCGGTGTAAGTTAGATAAATAAATAATTGACTTATAAACGACGGTCTTATCATGAGGATCTGAAAGTAGCAAAATTCATTGGCATATAATTGGTGTCCCGCATGAATGATTATACGATACTATAGCTGTATCTATGGTATACCCAGTGAAATAGTAATCGCAGTGAAGATACTGTGTAGTCATAGATTGACAAAAAGACCCTATGCAGCTTTACTATATTCTTATACTGTTATATATATATATATTTAAATTAAATATTTTTATTTATATGTTTATTTCTTTATATATATAACTAACCTTTATTAAGGTACCATATAAGATGGTTAGTTTCGATGGGGCGTCGGCATCACAAAACATAACTGATGTGTCTAAATGATATTTTATATTCCCTTATATTTTATTACTTTTTAGTTTTATTTATAAGGCCATCATCTTTTTAAGATAATAATAGAATAAATAAGTACAGATACACTAGTTGGCAACTAGTATTAATTAATATAATATTATTTATTATATTATTCCTCATTTTTGATGTGGAATCATATATGTAATACATATATAATTAATTTTATTTATAAGGATAATAACATAACTGTGCTATGATAATGACACATACTTGTGGAATTAGTACTTAAGTATAGTATATTGAACAGGCAATATCATTAGAATTGAGTGTCGATTACGGATTAAAGTTACGCTAGGGATATTAAGTTGTCCCCGTATATCGTGAGATATACTTAATTAATAGGGTTAATTACAAAGATATCTTATTTTCATAAGACAATTTGTAGCGAAGTATATATTAGTATTTATATATATATAAACGTTCAACGACTAAAAGATGAGTTTACTAACAATAATTCTTTCATGAAAGCCCTACACCTAATTTAATTTTAGGTGATGACATAGTCTAATCTATATAGTGATATATAGATATATATATTAAATAATATATATGTTAATAATAAATGAACAGGGTAATATCGCTAGAGAGTTGATATCGTCAGCGATGTTTGCCACCTCGATTAAAGATAGTCGAGTATAAATAGGGTGAATTGCAAGAAAATCTAAGTATATATATATATATATGATAATTTGCAGCGAAGTTATGTTAAAAACATAAAACGTTCAACGACTAGAAAGAATAATATCTTTCCAAGAGAGCCCTAAATTTACAGTATATAAATATATAAATATATATATATTATAAGAATTGTAAATTATGACATAGTCTAAACTATAATGAAAATTATAGAAATATATTTTAATAAAATATATGTTAATAAAATTGGTCGTCTAGACTTATCCTATTGGTCGTAGAAGCTAATAAGGGTACGACTGTTCGTCGTTTAAAAAGTTACTTGAGATGGGTTAATTACGACGTGAGTCAGTAATGATTTTATCATCTATGACGTTAATAGTAATATGTAATTATATGTGTACGAAAGGATTATATAATATAGTTCAATGGTGAAGAGCTTTTGATTCTTAGCTAAAACTATAAAGGATAAATATTGATAGCTTATTAAATATTAAGCCTTACATATTCACTATATAAACATTAAAGATAATAATGTAATAGTAATATATCTATGCTTTATTCTTATATAAGAATATAGAGGATATAATAAACTAATAAATATAATCATTTATAATAACAAATCATGTCAAATTATTTATATATATTTATACTATATATTATTTATATTTAATTATATATATTATACATATATTTTTATATAAAAATATAAAAGTTAGTTAGGGATTATAGATTAATTGGTAAATCTTACGCTTTGCATGCGTATGTTATCGGTTCAATTCCGATTAATTCCAGATATATGTGATATAAAATTAATTAAAATTATGATTTGATTAGACGTGCCAACACCTTGAGCAATTAGATTTCAAGATACCGCTACACCTAATAGTGAAGGTATTCATGAATTATATGACCATATTATGTATTATCTTACATTAATATTAGGTTTAGTTTCATATTTATTATATGTTATTATTAAAGATTTTAAAAATAATAAATTTGCATATAAATATATTAGACATGGACAAACAATTGAAATTGTATGAACTTTATTTCCTGCTGTTATACTATTATTAATTGCTTTCCCTAGTTTTATTTTATTATATTTATGTGATGAAGTATTAACTCCAGCTATGACTATTAAAGTTATAGGTTTACAATGATACTGAAAATACGAATATTCAGACTTTGTAAGTGAAACAGGAGAATCAATTGAGTTTGAATCATATATTATTCCTGATGACTTATTAGAAGAAGGTCAACTTAGATTATTAGATACTGATACTTCTATTGTTGTACCTGTTGATACTCACATCAGATTTGTTGTTACAGCTAATGATGTTATTCATTGTTTTACTATACCTTCTTTAGGTATTAAAATTGATGCTACACCTGGTCGTTTAAACCAAGTTAGTGCTTTAATACAACGTACAGGTGTTTATTATGGTCAGTGTAGTGAACTTTGTGGTGTTAATCATGCTCTAATGCCTATCAAACTAGAATGTGTATCTATATCAGATTTTATAGAATGACTTTCAGAGGCAGCAGAATAATATAATTATATATTCTTTTATATAATATTTTTATTTATTAATTTATATTTAACATAGGAGAATATATAACATATATAAAATTAAGTTTTATATGATAATCTTTTATACTCTTTTGAATATTATATTTATATTATAAATATGCCTATACGTAAAAGTAATACTTACTTATCTTTAGTAAATAGCTATCTTATTGATAGTCCACAACCTAGTTCTATCAACTATTGATGAAATGTTGGTTCTTTATTAGGTTTATGTTTAGTTATTCAAATTGCTAGTGGTATTTTCCTAGCTATGCACTATTCATCTAATATTGAATTAGCCTTTAACTCTGTTGAACACATCATGCGTGATGTTAATGCTGGTTGATTAATTCGTTATATCCATGCTAATGGAGCTAGTTTCTTCTTTATCTGTATGTATTTACATATTGGTAAAGCTTTATACTATGGTAGTTATAAAAGTCCTAGAGTAATGTTATGAGTTATTGGTGTTATTATCTTTGTTGTTACTATGGCAACTGCTTTTATGGGTTATAAAACAAGCAATAGCCCAAAATCATTTAAAATATCTCATCCTCGTAAAAGTGTTTTTATTATTAAACGTAACTTATCCACTAGTAGTAAATTATATAAGTCTAAAACAATAAATATTGATAATCTTATTAAACCAGATCAAGATTGATCTACTCTCTCAGAAATATTTGAAGAATTAGGTGTAACTCCTGAAATTTCATGAGATAATTTACATGATCCTTATGTTAGAGAAGCTATTAGATCTGAATTAAAATCTAAAAGTGGTATTTATATTATTATTAATAAAATTTCACGTAACTATTATATAGGTTCTGCACAAACTAATAATTTATATCGTAGATTTCATAATCATTTACTTACTAACAATAATAAAGGTAGTAAAATTGTGCAAAGAGCAGTAAATAAAGATGGTTTAAACAATTTTGTATTTGCTATAATAGAATATTATCCTTTTATTGTTACTAATGACAATAAACAAGAATTATTAGCTTTAGAAACTTCTTATATAGGATTATTACTTCCTATATATAATATAGAAACTGAAGCTAGTCGTTGATCTGGTTTAAAGTCTGATCAAGTTACTTTCTCTAATAAACTTAATTTAATTAAATTATCTTTACTAGAAGAACGTAAAGAGTTACTTAAATCTATTAAGGATAAACATATGGAAGAGTATAATGCTCAAAGATCTAAAAAACTTAGTGAAATAGCTAAAAATAGAACTTCTGATTATTGAACACCGAAAGGTATTGCTAATATTAGTAAAGGTTCAAGGAAAGTTATATTTCTTAAATCTTCATTAACTGATCATAACAATCTTTGTCAATTTGAAAAAGTTACATCTGCTGCTAATTATTTATGTTGTAGTCAAAAAACTATTCAACGAGCATTACACGCTGGCTATATATATGTACCTAATACATTTTTAACTTATTTATCTCCAATTTATTTAGATAAATCTAATTGTATTTTAGATAATATTGATACTACTACTTTAGGTAAAAAATACGAATATACTAAACCTAAAAAAGGGTTTAAACTTAAATTAAAAGCTACTTTAATGAAAAAATCTAACTTTACTAAAATATATATTTCTAGTACTTTAGCTAGATTAATATAATTATATTTATTTTTAATGATAGTCTATCTATATCTTAATGAAAAATTATTTTTCTTTTTCTTTTAAGAGATATAATTGTAACTTTCATAAGAAAAATTATATCAATGATATATAGGTTTATCCTATTTAGATATATATGAATATCTAAGGCAACATTAGTGAAAACGATCAAAATTATCTTTTGATAATAAGATCGTCGGTTTTATGAAAAATCGCTACAGACTGGTCCACTGATGGATATCTGTAATGATATTTAATGCACAGTCGATATATTAAACTTACGGTTTATTCCGTATTGCTTGGTTTACGGACAAATGTCTCACTGAGGTAGTCTTATTGCCTCAAATATATTAATATTTTATATTACACTAATTATTAAAGTCAAATATCCTATTTATTTAAATATTAACAATAAAAATAATGTTACTAATTTTAAAAGTCCTTTAAATATAGATATAATCAGTATTATTTATGGTACTTTATTAGGTGATGGTCATGCTGAAAAACGTTCCAATGGAAAAGCTACTAGAATATGTTTTTATCAAGAATCTAGTCATGATGATTATTTATTATACTTACATAGTTTAATAGCTAATTTAGGTTATTGTAATACTACTATACCTAAAATATCTACTAGATTAAATAAAAATGGTAAAATAAAAAAAGTAATTAGATTTTATACTTGATCTTATAACCTTTTTAATAGTATTCATTCTAAATGATACATTCCTAATCCTCACCCTATTAAAGGTAAAAGTAATTTTATTAAAATTATACCTAAAGATATAGAATTATATTTAACTCCTTTAGCTCTTGCTATCTGAATTATGGATAATGGAGCTAAAGTAGGAAAAGGTTTAAAATTAAGTACTAATAATTTTACTTATGATGAATTATTATTATTAACTAATGTACTTAAGTATAAATATAATCTTACTTGTTCTATACAATCTACTGGTACTAAATTTCAATATCATATTTATATATGTGTTGAATCTATGCCTAATTTAGTTAAAATAGTAAAACCTTACATTATTCCATCTATGAAATATAAATTTGGTGATCATATATAATTATTATAATAATAATATATTAATATATAGTATATATATTTTTATTAATAAATGTAATTTTTAACAAAAAATTTATTTATATATATATGCAACATAATTGAAAATCGGTCAAATTTATTTGTTAAGTAACAAGACCATGGGTAAGTTAAATTATCCCTACAGAGTGGTTCAATTATGGGTTCCTGTAATGGTACTTAATGTGCACTCGGATATAATAAACTATATTATTCTATAGTTTCACAAGGCTTATTTATATAATAAATAATTTTATTATATATATATATATATATATTATTTCCTTATTCTTTATATTTATATATCTAATAATATATATTAAAGATAAAGTATTATATATATATATAATATTAAATAAGTACATGGTATAATTTATTTTAACAAATATAATATATTTTACTCTAAATAATATATATTATATTGAGTTTTACTCATATAAATTATATTTTTATATTGGCAACTGTAATTACTAACTTATTATCTGCTATACCATTCATTGGTAAAGATATTGTTCCGTTTATTTGAGGAGGTTTCAGTGTAAGTAACCCTACAATTCAAAGATTCTTTGCTCTTCACTTCTTATTACCATTCATTTTAGCTGCTTTAGTATGTATGCATTTAATGGCATTACATGTTAATGGTTCATCTAACCCATTAGGTATTACAGGTAACGTTGATAGATTACCAATGCATCCTTACTTTATTTTTAAAGATTTAGTAACTGTATTTGTATTCTTATTAGTATTTAGTTTATTTGTATTCTATTCTCCAAATACATTAGGTCACCCTGATAACTATATTCCTGGTAACCCTTTAGTTACTCCTCCTTCTATTGTTCCAGAGTGATATCTATTACCTTTCTATGCTATTTTACGTAGTATTCCTGATAAATTAGGTGGTGTTATAGCTATGTTTGGAGCTATTTTAATTTTACTTACTTTACCTTATACAGATAGATCTTTTATTCGTGGTAATAGTTTTAAAGTATTATCTAAATTTATGTTCTTCTTATTCTTATTTAACTTTATCTTATTAGGTAACTTAGGTCAATTACATGTTGAAGTTCCTTATATTGAATTAGGTCAATATGCTACTGCTTTCTATTTTGCTTACTATTTATTAATTGTTCCTGCTATTTCTTCAGCTGAAAACATTTTATACTATATTGGTACAAAGAAATAATTATTCTTTTTATTTATTTTATTTATGTATATATTCATATATAGGAGAGTTTAATTATTATTTTTAATTTATTAATTAAATCTAATTTAATTGAATTGTTGACTAATCGGCAAGTCCCCTAGATTTGAGCTAGGTCATACACGTTCGAATCGTGTCAGTTCAATTTATATTTTTTTATTTATTTATTAGTTCTTATTTATTTATTAATTCATATTTATTTATTAGTACATATTTATTTATCAGTACTACTAGCTTAATGGTAAAGCCTTTTAATGTCACTAAAAGAGATGTCAGTTCGAGTCTGATGTAGTACGTTGGTCAATTTTACTTATTGGTACAGTTAGGCTATTTGCTATATAGTCCCTTTTTAGGATCAGTGTTCGATTCACTGATTGGCCGTTATATATTTATATTATTATATATATATATATTATATATTTGACACATAGTATAATGGTAATACATATTACTACGGATAATAATATAAGGGTTCGATTCCCTTTGTGTCTTATGCTATTTTCTATAGTTATTATTTTACTTATATATATCGCTTTTAACCATGCTAATATCTATCATATTAATAGATTAGCTTCTTTAGGATTACTATATGTCCTTTATCTTGCTTATAATAGTCTTGATTTAAGATATAGTTTATTTACTATTTATAATGATTGATTTAAACTTAATGATACTAATATTCCATTAGTTTATCTTCAAATTATCTTAGTTATTTTCTTATTAATTTATACTACTGTTAAACAACGTTATGATATATCTTCTATATGAATATATTTATTAATTATTATTAACTTAATTGGTTTAATTTTATTCCCTATGGTTAATGATTTATTATTATTATATATTATTATTGAATTACAAAGTTACTCTTTATATATTATTACAGGTGTTCATCATAAATCTTATAATGCTACTAGAGGTAGTATGTTATATTTTGTAACTGGTGGTATTGCTTCTATCGGTATTTTATTATCTTCTTATTTTGTTTATAATACTGTTGGTAGTTGTAATATTACTGATATTACTAATTATTATGCTATTCATAATGCTAGTAATTTATTTGATAGTTTAGATATTTTAGTTTTAGCTTTAATATTTAAAATGGGATTAGCTCCTTTACATTCTTGAAGTATTGCTGTTTATAATTATGCTCCTACTTATATTACTGGTTATATTTCTATTGTTGCTAAAGTTTCTATTTTATCTTGAATTTATACTAATTCTAATTTAATTCATTCTGATTTATTAATTATTGTTTTCTATTTATCTATTATTATTGCTGCTTATAAACCTTTATTCCAAGTTAATTTTAAAACTATTTTAGCTTATAGTGGTATTTTAAACTTTGGTTATTTATTATTACCTGTTTGTTTACAAGATCCTTCTTATTATATTTATATTATTCAATATGTTATTACTCATATTTTAATTTTCTTATGTTTATTAGCTAGTAATGAATTTATTTCTAAACCTAATAGTCAATGATCTCCTATTGTTAATGTTAATCAGTTAGTTATACCTAATAAATTATTATCTATTTGCTTAATTTTATGTTTCTTCTCTTTAATTGGTATTCCTCCTCTTCCTGGTTTTTATGGTAAATTCTATGTTATTCAAAGTTTAATTAAATATAACTTTACTTTTGAAGCTATTTCTATTGTTATATTTAGTGTTATTGCTACTTATTATTATGCTTATGTTATTAAACAATTAGCTACTAATTTAATGATTCCTTATAATTTACCTATTAATAAATCTTTAGCTTTTGTTATTAGTTTATTATTAGTTTTCTTTATTACTTATTTTGTTTATATATTTAACTTATTAGATGTGATTAATATTATTTTATCTTAATGTTTACTGCTTATCTTATTTTATGTCCTATTATTGCTGTTGTTTTAGTTGGTTTAAACTGATTATTAGCTACTAGTAACTCTTATATTGAAAAAGATGGTCCTTTCGAATGTGGTTTCACTTCTTTCCAACAATCTAGATCTGCCTTTAGTGTTGCTTTTATTCTTGTCGCTATCTTATTCTTACCTTTTGATTTAGAAATTTCTTCTATTCTTCCTTTTGTTATTAGTCCTTATTCTAATGGTCTTTATGGTTTAGTTATTCTTGTTATCTTCTTAATCTTATTAATTGTTGCTTTTGTTGTTGAAATTCAATTAAAAGCTTTACAATTAAATCGTACTTATACTAATGATTTACCTCATACTGAATTATATGATATTAATATTAATGATTAACTTTATTTATTTATTCTTTTTATCTCTTCTTTATTTAGTTATTTATAAATCTAATTACTAAATTAGTTTTCCTAATATAAAATATAGTAATTTTTATTATTATTTATTTAGTAATTTTAATTAATATACATTATATCAATTTATATATATATCAATATATAGTAGTAATATAAATAAATAATATATACTTATATAAATAGTGTATATATATATAGTAATATAAATAGTAATATATACATATATCAATATTAGTAATAATTATCATAATATATAGGAGAGATAGGATAGATATACCCTCCCCGGAGGGGCCACCGGAGGTACCCCCCACACCTTTTAATTATTCTTTTATTTATTTGATTTATTAATAAAATAATATTTTGATCATAATAAAATCTTATATTGATTATAATTAAATTTAATTCTATAATATATGAGTTAATATGATAACTTTTTCTTATTACATATGTATATATTCATAATAAATTATCAATAAATAATAGATAAATAAGGATATAAAATATAATAATAAAGATAATAAAGAGATAAGATATCAAATAAAGATAATCTAATAATATAATAAATAAAAATAGAGAGAAATGTATATATTTTACCTTTCTTCCCTCCCTGAATAGAGATAATATAAAATATATAGATAAATAACGATTAATAACGTTCTAATGAAGAATGAATAAGAAATAAATACTAAATAAATAATATGAGAATATAATATAATATAATAAGTATATAATAATAAAGATAATAAATATAATAAAGTAAATATGAGAATAAAAGGATAAAATATAGATAAGGATAATAATATAATATATGTATATATATATATATATATGATAAATAATATAAATGAATATATATATAATAAAGTAAATATAAGAATATAAAGATAAGATATAAATAAGGATAAATAAATTTATGTATATGTTTGCATATATCTTAATCTAATATATAGTCTATATAATATTAATATCGATATAATTATTAAAGATAATATCAATATATTATCGTTTAATATAATTGATAATATATAGGTAAATAATCAATCCCTATAACTTATCTATAATTCTAGATATATTTCATTACTTTACTATATCATTGCCAAGGGTTTATATATTATATATCTATCAATATATAAGATATTAGATTTATTTTATTAATAATAAATAATAAATATAAGAGTAAACCCTACCATATTCGAATGAAACTCTATAAGAGTGAATTCGAATAAGGGTTTACAAAGATATGAAAATATAATAAATAAGAAATAATAAACTAAAAGAAATAAAATAAATAATAAAAGAATAAAAATAATATAACAGAATATAGATAAAGGGAGGGGGGAAGAGGAGAAATAGAGATAATATAAAATATATAGATAAATAACGATTAATAACGTTCTAATGAAGAATGAATAAGAAATAAATACTAAATAAATAATATGAGAATATAATATAATATAATAAGTATATAATAATAAAGATAATAAATATAATAAAGTAAATATGAGAATAAAAGGATAAAATATAGATAAGGATAATAATATAATATATGTATATATATATATATATATGATAAATAATATAAATGAATATATATATAATAAAGTAAATATAAGAATATAAAGATAAGATATAAATAAGGATAAATAAATTTATGTATATGTTTGCATATATCTTAATCTAATATATAGTCTATATAATATTAATATCGATATAATTATTAAAGATAATATCAATATATTATCGTTTAATATAATTGATAATATATAGGTAAATAATCAATCCCTATAACTTATCTATAATTCTAGATATATTTCATTACTTTACTATATCATTGCCAAGGGTTTATATATTATATATCTATCAATATATAAGATATTAGATTTATTTTATTAATAATAAATAATAAATATAAGAGTAAACCCTACCATATTCGAATGAAACTCTATAAGAGTGAATTC